CGTGGACTACGAAACGCGCCTCGCGATGCTTGACCTCTTTCCCCTGGAGTGTCGTCACCTCCGAGGGGACCTAATTCTTACTTATGCCCTGTTTCAACAAAGCTTGGCCAACCGGTTTTTCATCGTTCACCCAACAAACACCCGATGGGGACATATTAAGAAAGTTTCAAGCTCAGAGCACACACATTCATCATTTCGGGTAGTAGCTGCGTGGAATGACCTTCCTCCGACGGTTGTTCACGCTCTTTTTAGATCCCAGTTTATAGCACTATTAGACATTTGTTTATGCGAATCCTCACGCTGGCAAGCCTACTGCCCCGCTCTGAGAACATAAAGAGCAGTGCTACACCCTTTTTTCATTTGTATTTTTCAGGTGAACGAAAGCCACTGACCGATAAGAACAAAAGCGATCCGGGAACCTTGGGCAAAAGCCTGGATCCTGTGTATCAATCCATGAATCCGTTTCTTCATTCACTGCATGACATGAAGAACGCAGTTTTAACTCAGAATCGATAGTCTCTCAAGAGATTGTGGCGAAGTAACATCGGACGAATGAACGTCACAGTCTTCTACGATTCGTTAACATAATTGAGCTTGAGTAACCTTATGATCTCCAAGCCGAAAACCACGAAAAGGCCTTGTTTAAGTTACCTAAAGTTCAGAAGTCCACGTAACCCGGTATGAAGAGGCACGTTTTTGAAAGATTTACTACTAATCGCGCTCCAATCATACCACAATTTAAGGCTTTTACCAAATCGAGTGGATAATCACGAGGTTACATAGTATGAAGGATCCCGGCATTTTGTTGGGAGCTCTCCAGCTGAAAGACGCCTTGCCTCTTTGGTTGTGAGCGATGACCCTTATTTTAATTAATCAATTAAATGGTTCTTTTCATATATTCGGCGGAGAAATTCGTACCCACACCCAGGAAATCTGACTTTTCGATAGGACCTAATGAGGGGGCACAATGTGAGGCACAATGTGGAGGTGTTGAGCTGCGTTGACAAGTGATATTTGTTAGGCTTGCCGATGTTACCTATATAAAACAAATCGAGTTCATTTTCCATGTTAGTGTTTGTTCACACAAGCATCGAACTCAATTCACAGACGCATGGCAGAAATGAACATCAGGCTGATGTTGGTAAGAGGGTGTAACAAACACCTCCAGAACATCCCTTTACCTGATCGTCCCAGAGGACTCACAACGTCGATGGCTGCGTTGTCTGTACAGTTGAAACAAACAAAACAGTGTAACAGTGAAGTCTCTGCTTTTAGTCGGAATGTGTGGACTGTTCCACGGTTTAAAGAGTCCATTTTCGATTAGGCAAGACCATTCAGAACAACTTCTATACACCTACACTAACTGCAGGGACAATCACACGTTGTGGAGTGACTTGCATAAAATAAATTGCTCCAACGGCGGAATTGCTCCGGGAAAAGGAGATTATCATCCCACGGTTAACCTACGAAACGCAGTAAGACGCCAGAAGTGACCTTCCCGAAAGGATAATGAACGATTACCCGGTGCACACTGATGAGGATGAATCATAATGACAAGCTCGTGAATCACTCGGGACCGGGAAAAACTGCGGCATAGTCAGATGTGGTTTTCCCCGTCGAACAACCAACAACGCAGATAACCGAGAACACAACCAAAGGATGCATTGATGCACACACAAAAAATGCAACACCGATAACAAATTCTGGAATCATCCCACCTGGAGCCAGGTGTTTTGAAGTTTTACGCATGGCAGAATCAGACAAATGGGTCACTGAATGGGGTACAGAAGCAGACGTGGCAGGAACGAGCTTGACAAAAATCATTGCTGGAGGGAAGAAAGAATGGAGCCAACAAGCTAAAGACCATCGGCATCAGGAAGAAATTAGACGGGCGTACAATATATGGCAAAGGCAACCTCACTTGTTATCTCACGACAGTACAATTTTAAAGTGCGCTATAGGTCATCCTCAAGAATAGATTTGCACCTGGGAGTTTTGGGTATAAATAAGTCCTGCCTCCGAATCGGTTATACTGTAGGACGGAAAAATCCGAAAGTCATGGTCAGGATAGTACACTTTGGTATGACGTGTTTGAGTTGAAAACTGGGGTCATTAGTTTTCCTTCTTTCGGATTTTATGAAATTAACTTAGCATGTTTGAAGAATAAGTTCAAGAACTCAATAGTAGCAGTATCTGGCTAAAACTGCCAATAAAACGATCAAAATCAAGAGCTGGGAAGTAGCAATATGTCGTATGTTTAGACATTGTTGCCCAGTCACCAAATACGAGTATAGCGAACGGCTTATGTTCTGTTCGAGATACTAGGTTTCGCCAGGATGAGTCAGCTTACTTTTGATTGTCTTTTCTAGGGGTTATTAAAATAACAACACTAGCACATTTAGACGGCTTCAAGAGTCGACACGGAACCCTTGATATGTTATGATAAACGACTAAATAGCTAGCAGCACTCAAGAGTTAAGTTATTTAGCCTGTGTGAAAAATGACTTGATGCCTCCAAACACACCTTGGACCCTACGTAGATCAACTGTTCAGTGGGGTTAAAGTTAGTCCGCGGTACCTTGAGTACAAAATGTCTTTGGCTCCCTCTTGTAACGCAGGAGACACACTTGGGTATACCTGAGAGTCCCCGAACATCCTGATACCTAATGTACGGGAGGCCTAATTTTCTGGCGACTCTGGCTACGGCCACATACATATTTTAGTATTTACCAGAGAAAAGTCTATTGCCTCAGACAATTTCCTGGCACACTTAGAGATGTTGCGTTGGGGTTTTACTCCAAAGAAGAAGATTACCTTGGAAATCGAAGGTGCAACTTGTGGTGGATAAAGAAGTGTTTTTGTAACTGCGTGCAAGACTCAGATCTTGGAACACAAAGTGCACAAAGCTACACAAAGTGCATAGCAATTCTGAATGAGTGCAATTCAATGAAGTAATCTAAATGGATGGGTATATATCCTATCCTTGGAGTTTATTGGAACATGTGCATCAACTCGTCACCGAGGACTTAGAAAGAACTATTCATTGTCATCGGTGAGTAGTGAGGCGGAACAAGTAGTGAATGGCACGCTAAAAGAGTTATGTTTACTATCTCACACACTCCAAAGTCTAATGCACTGTAAAACTTTGATTGATTGGAGGAGGACAAAACAGCAGTTTGCTGTATAACTCTTGAAATAAACCGGTTTCTGTCTCACTTAGATCGACCAAATCTCACAGACCAGATGAACTTCTTCAGGAGGTACTCGACTAGCTAAAAATCGTCCTAATCAGAGTTCTTTCTGTGATTTTCGTTTTGTCAGTAAAGGAGGTTGAGGCACTGTCCACAGAAGTTTTAACAAACAGGGCTCTACTAGTTTTTGGCCTGCTAGCTTAGCTCCAGTGATTGGGAAGCTGAGATTGAGAAAAAGTTGAGAGGCTTCCGCGGCAACGCCTTGAAGACAACGGCCCACAAAACCTTACCATAAGGGCTTTGTAACTAACTGTCTGTTATCTGTTTCCAGCAAATAAGAGCTGTACAAGATCAACTAATCAAAGACATAAGGTGGCTGTGGTTTTCGTATATCTCAGTGAAGTTTTTGCAAAGTGTACCGCAAAAATGTCCTTGCTATTTTAAAAGAAGGTAGATTTTTTCATCTTTAATGAATAATCGGGGACTTAAAAATTGCCACCACGTGGTTGATTTGACAGAAGTTTTTACGAAAGACTGTCAGAGGGTAATGTAATCTCACAAGGACTAGTACTGTAACCTACACTGTTCAGCAAGCATGTGGCTAAATTACTTTGTTAGCTAGATCAAACAACTTTGATATTTGCGGTTGACCATAAGGTTCAAGGAAGCATCACGACAGATGAGGATGGGTAATATTTTTAGGATATAGGGAATAGAGTAGAGTAGTATACGGCTTAGTTAAAGCCACCAACCCGCTAAAAAACTGTCTTCCAAATGGTCGGTTGATACCCACAGAGGCTAAGGTTGCTTACCTGATCGTCGTTACTTACAAGTGAATTAAAGATGAAAACACATGTTACTTGAGCGGCGTGTCAAAGCCGCACGAAACCCAGCTGCACTTTATAACGTAGAGACTTGTCCCAAACTGCTAAAATGGTTCATCAAGCCTGCGTTGTGTACTGTCCACCTATCCACTTGCAAGAAATAAAAGCTTGCAGCCTGAACTATTAGAGTTCGGTAGCCAACATGACAGTGAAACTAAGAGAACCCAGTTACTTCTGAACACTGCCGCACTTGCACTCAGCGCCCTTTGGATTTTGAGTGCTAGGAAGGTAAAGGTTTTGGTAGCTGTGCCATTTAGTAACTGGAGAAAGGCCACTGCTACAAGGATGCCTAAACATGACTTTGAAATTCCTATGTTTCCTATGGTACCAATTATGTTTTAGGTGTCTTCCGATGCAATTATTTTGTGGAAAAGCTTTGTAGAATATACCGTAATGGCGTATATTTACACGTTTATGAGTTCGCTCGATTGGCACTTGCGGACCAGCTACAGGAAGAAGCGATTCCAATTGCACTATTTCACCGCCATCTGAACTGGTGCAAATATAGAGTGGAGTTGGCAGTTTTCCTATCCGTATAAATACAAATCTGTGGGGTTTTACTAGTATTAATTGTCAGAAATCATTGGTTTTTGATAGTGGTATTGGAGGCTGTGTATGTTTAAACTAATACAGCTTTCCACAGGTAACTTGTCCAAAAGCTGGAGCGCCAAATTAATCTGCCTCTTTTTCATGGGAGAAGGCTAGCGCTGAGGCTTGATTGGGTGGTCTGGACGTAAAGCAGGATAAACCACGGAACCTTCTCCTTATTTGTTCTGGATCGTCCTTGGAATATGTTCTGATAGATCGCCACTTTCAGCCTCTCATCTCTTTCTTGCTTAGTATAAGTGTATATTTTTTGAGGATATTTTTGGAGATTTTTCTTGAAGTAAACGACAACATCTCTTTTAAGGGACTGGCCACCCTAGAGGAGGCTTACCCTAATTTAACGGGGGCGGATGTTGCTGACATGCAATAACTGTCCTTGTCAGTGTAACTCTAAATCACCCCTTGCTAAACCCAAGACTGTGCGCCACAAGTATCAGTCTTTGTGGACCTGTTCTTCTGTATCTTGATTTATGACTTTCCGGTCACCTCCTGAATTGATGTAACCGAGCCACAGAACAAATATAGCCATCAACTTTCAAGCGAATCTGTGAGCTATTCCATCCGGATGTCACAATTGATCAACGGAGAACAAGGTGCCGTTAAGCGAGAAGTAATATAATCTACTGTTAACATCTTACTTTTCACTAAGTTTATGCTCCTCAGTTTCTTTATACTGTCGAAATCACGAGAATTAAGATAGTCCCAACCTCTAAATTGGTGAGTAGTATTGACCAATATTCAAAGCCGCCGACAGCAAAGAACGTGTTTGACAATGAGCATATTATGGAACAAGTGTCCACGATTCAATCAGTTAGACCACTTGACGCCTTTTGTGTTCTAAAGAGAAGCTTTCACTAACTTCCCTGTCACACCAAGTTAATACATAGGGATTCTGAGTCTTTATTTTAGAGCCATGGCAGTTGTACAAACAATACTACAAGGGGACAAAGATAAACGCAGTGTTGGCGGTAGAGTGACCAAGATTGCGTCACAACTCGTATGCCGTGGGACTTAAGGTCACGCGTGCTATGACTAGTACTTACTAGAGAGAGCGTGTTTTCGGTTGTGTAACGGGTACTTCCATTAAACAATGTGTCCAGCACCAGGAGCTGCGTTGGTTGGGACATGTGTTGCGTATGCCGAACCATCGTTTGCCGAACAGAGTGCTGTTTTCCATGCCCAACTAAGAGTGGTGTAAACAGAAAGGTGGCCAACCCTTGACTTGGCAGAGGAGTATGAAGGAGATCACGAAACGCTTGGGTGCTGT